GGCGGCTGCCCTTATAAACGACCCCCCTGCCGTCCCCCTGCGCATTTGGGTGTTTATGGATAAGCAAGAGTAAGCGGACGTTGTGCCTAGAAAACATGAAGGCAAAGGTCTGCAGAGCAGCAGCATCATACATGGAAGACTGAGCAGAATGGTCTCTCTCCTCTACCTTCTTAGCTAAACACCTTTTCAATATGGAAACAAGTACAATGAAGGAAATTCCCCCTGGAACAAATGGAACATGTAATAAGTCATCCTATTAATCAGACAGGTTGGTCAAGTTGAACCATCTCACCCTGAAGTGTTAGAGTGACCTTTCTTGTGTCTTTGGGCTGGTAATTGGACACCCAGTTGCATGTTGTAGTTGTTGCCAATGAACGGACGGGTTTTCTCTGTTTTATTACTTAAATATTTATCTGCATAACAAGTTAAAGATGTAATTCATAAGGTCAAGCAATTACTGATTACAGCTTTAAAAAGGTTGTAATGGGAAAACTTCCATGAGTATTCTAAAACTTTTCTAGCAGTTTTTCTCCTTTGGAAGTCTTGAAACAAAAGCAAAAAGTACTTTCATGTTCAATTAAATGTACTTCATCATAACTTTCACTTGCAACACCGTTTTTCACCACCAATATCATCATCATCAATCTGAGCTTAACTTTTGGGGGAAAAAACATTTACAGTATGCAACAAGCATTACTTATTTAAAGATTTGGCTATTTTCAACTTCAGCTTTACACTATTTGGAACAATACTGTGTGTTTCCCCCACATATAGACTTTATTTGGGCAGGCTGCCCAGGTATATTAACGGCCACCAATACGACAGCAACAGCACAGCTTAAGAAAACAAGGCAACAAGCATGCCATACTAAAGACAAAATATGATTAGCTTTTTCATCTAGTACTATGTCTTGGAAAATCTGAAAATGATGTCTAAACATTAATGTAGCTGACTATTATGAAATTGGGCATGCCCATGTAAAACAGAGACTACATTGATGCAATCTCTTGCAATGGCAACAATTATCTCTGTCTAGACACTAGCATGACAGCAAGAGCCAAACGTACAGCAGTGTTAAGTCTACCATTATTGCTGCTACGGTCTGCAATGCAAGAAATAAAATCTGATAAAAACAAGACGTTGTCATTGTCAGTTAAATTTACTGTACTTGTTGAAGCCATGATGGAGATGACATTTGCTTCCAAGTGCTAATAAACATAAATTCTCACTAGAAAGAAAACAGATAAGACCGAACAAACAAGGAGGAGAACAGAATAGCTCTTCTGCAAACCTGCCTGCAAATAACGTTAATATTCTTATTAAAACTTAATTGAATGCTTCAGGTTCTTGGTGATGGTCTTGTCAGACAAATTTGATGCAAATATCCTTAAAACCACCGTTAAAATTAAACTCAATGAAACAATCATCCAGCACACTTCTCGACTACATCTACAGTTGCAGTTTTAGCCTACTGATCTATCGTCATGGTTTTAGCCAACTAACCAATAATTTGTCAAGTTTATGTTTTGCTCCTCTCTGTCACCAAATGACAATTGGTAACACACAGAACCTATTCAAAAAGGCTCTACACTTAATATTCTGAACAACCAAGTAGGCGGTGGAGAAAAATCTGGTCCACAGGACGTAATAGGTTTACATGTCTGTCATCGTCAATAATGAATGTTTAGAATAAATAGAGAATCCACAGTTCTGAAAATAAAAGATCAAAGCTTTGCTGTTCTGCTCCTTCCTATACATAAGCCTTCTGCTTTCAAAGATGTACCCAAAAATACTTTTAATTTATGTTTTACGGCCCTTTAGTTTACTGGAAGTGCAATTTTGTTTGAGACCATGTTGCCTAAATCGTTGTAGTCAGAAATGGGAAACTGTGAGATAAATAAAGTAAATTTGTAATTAAAATGACTAATATATTTTACAAAATGATGAGATTAAGTTGCTGGCATTGAAATCATGATGGTAACAACACTGACATCTATTTATCCATCTAGCTATCCAACCATCCATCCATGCCATGACCACTGTCGTTTTCAGAGGGCACCATAAACACAGCAAGTGTGAGCTGTGTGAGTGTGAGATTCAATTTTACTTTCCCCCCAATTCTGTTTTCTATTTAAAATTTTCTGAATTCTGTGTTTTAAAATTTAAGCACATTTTGTCATCAGAAAGAGTGTACAATCATGTGGTAGATGAATAAAATGTATACAAAAACAAAATATTAGAAGTTGAATCAATATCAATGAATCTGATGTAAAATGCAAATAAGCATATATAAATATTCAAATGTATGTGCAATTATATATGGGGACAATTCACAATAAATGCATTGCTGCAATATATGTACTGTCCCTATCAAATACTGCTGGGAGTGATGACTTCCTGTTATTTCTCACAATATAAGAGCTGTTTATACTTGAAGCGTGCCGTTATTTAGTTACTTTTCGTGAACCGACCAATCACAGCCTGGAGTAGGCGGGACATTAAAAAAGGCACTACAACGCACTTTCGTAATGTTGAACTCATTGTTCTGTATGCATGGTTTTTATTATTGTCAAGTTAGTACTCTGCATAAACAAATGAGACTAACCACCTTGTAGAGCATTTTTTTTGTAACAACAACAACCCACAAAATGTAACTGTTTTGTCCAACTGGAATTAATATTAGGCTACTAATAGTAAGCTATAGTAGCCTATACCGTTATCTGAAATTATAATAAATACACAAACATTAGCACTAATAAAACCTTAACCACAGTGGTGTAGGCTAACAGAGATAGGTTTTATTTGTGAAAAAAGGTGAATCTCAACTAAAAAACTATCTGTAGGCAGATAATCCAAATCAAGTATAACCTGTAAATATATTATTATACTAACATATTACTTTACTATTATACCTTTACTCCTCCAAGTTGTGGATATATATTGTTTATCAAATGTCAGAAATAACAAGAAAATGTATAGATTTCGGTCATAAGGTAACTCATTGCCTTTACTGTACGCATACTGATCATGTTTACTCTCGCGCCAAGTCACCCCTCAGTCCCATTCCAAGTATACCCGCCAAGTCCCATTCTGAGCCAGGAAAAACCCTGGGTAATGAGCCTTTAAACTATAGTTTCTGATGTATTCTAAATATATCCACGAGCCGCCTGTCTGCAGTTAGTCAGCGTGTCTGAAATGATTAAACCAGAGCGGACATGTAAATAAACGTGAGCTGAACAAGAATCTAACACGGCTTCCTGTAGCTCCTCTTTTTGTGATGTTGTAGATGTGAAACGCTGTAGTCAGAGCTGTAACGTGCTGGTTATAGTTACAGTTAAATGAAAGTTGCAAGTCCTTGTTGTAGACATTCAACAGCAGCTCACTGTATCATAGACCGCATGAATTATACCGATGATGAGAAATGGTTTCTTGTAGATTTGGTTAGAATTAAAGAGTGCTGGTAAAGGGATGAACTAGGTGTGCTACAGATTTTGTGTAAAGTGAAATACACATGCTTATTCTCTCTCACTCTCTCTGTTTACAGATGGCTGAAAAAGTTACACCTTCCAGCAGCAAATATTTATTGATGTGAAATTGTTTACATGTTCACTTTTTGAGACTGTATTCTATTTTATTAACATAATCCATTTAGGAAAAGGTTTTATAGACCACAGACATACCAGCTTTCAATATCGGCCTGTTCTAAGTGTAGTTTATACAGTAAAGAGGCTTACTATTCAAATCATTCTCAAAATCTAAATATCGGCTCATAAATTGGCTCTTTTTCACTATAATATCGGCATCGGCCCCCAAAAACCCATATCGGTCAGGCTCTACCTAAAATACAGCTATATGAAAATCTAACTTTCTCAGGAGTGCCTCCTGACAGATTACTGGTGGGAATGATTGAGCTTGAGTCTATGAAAAGGCAGTCTCACTGGTAATCTGATCTGGTTGACAGTCACACTAGTCAGACAGGGTAGAAATGATGGGTTAGGCCACAAAAATCTGACATGCAAGTTGATATAATGAAAAATCCCATTGTCAATTTATTGAAGCATTCAATTCTGTAAGTCATTCACGCCTACTCATTTAGCCATTCATTTCTCCTTTCAAGTGCTTTTCCATTCAGTCACTCGTCTCTTCACTCGGTCTGATGTAGAGGTCTCTTGCTGTGCATTAGACCATGGAGGAGTCATAAGAATTAACGCCTAAGAACTGATCCATAGACTGCACAACCTTGAAACCTGTGCAGACACACACACACACACACACACACACACACACACCTACGCACACTCGGTTGTCAATTGCCTTAAAAGTGGTGGTCATGCTTGAAAACACATGGATTTCATTCACCCCACGGCTAAATGGAACCAACACGCTTGCCCACACACGTTTCATTAAAGTGCCCTGGTAGGCTTAGTTTGGCACGGTATGACTCAGGGGAGTTAGAGGACCTGACTGAAATGAGACACACACACACACACACACACACACACACACACACACGCGCCAATCTAAAAGGTTAAGGGATCAGGTATAACAGAGGGAGTTAGTTAAGTAACTTTGCAAGATCAAAGATGGATGCACACAGTCATGCATGTGTGTTTGTGTGAGTGAGTAATGCTACAGTGGCCACCAACCAGGATTTATTTAATTTCAGCCAGTTTCAGCCATTCCCAGCACTCGGGAAGGTCTACATTTCTTTTAATGATATCTACCCTCCCCACACTGCTCTGTCAATTTTAATCCCTTCAACCAATAAAGGAGGACTTTCAATCAGCCAGAGGTTCTACAACTTCCATTGAACAGTGCAGGAATCACACCTGGGTCCAATTGTGCTTGAAAAACTGTCAGAGATGGGAAGCGTTTGTATAAATCAATCTGAAATGTCATACAGGCAAGGCTGCTGCCATTGGGGTTATTAAATTGGTTCCTTTGTGCCAGACGAGTAAATTCATCACAGAAAACAGTTGGAGGGAAGTCTCGGTGCCTACCTGTAGGTTGTGTCTCTCCAGTCTCATCTCCAGAATGTTGTTCTGCTCCTCCAGACGCTGCCGCTCTGCCTCTAAATCTTCAATTTTCTGTCTGAAAAATGTATGCACACACCAACTTACTTGTTTATCAATATCTACCAAGAATAATAACAACTGTGCACATTGTAACTCAATAGTTTAATCCTAGAGATACCGCTCTGCTCACAGATAAGGCATGTGAGGTCTGGCTGAGTTAATCCACCCTCTGTATATGCATAAATCTTTCATGTCCCTGGTTTTGAATTGGTCTTTGCAACAGGGTGTGTGTGCTAACTACCTGAGTATGCTGACCTCTTCTTTGCTTAGTACAGAATCGCTGTCAGTAGCAGAGGCCTGCTGCTTCTTCAGAGACTCCAACTCCAGCTCCACCTGGGACGGACAGAGAAATAAATGGGCCTGGTGCACTAACATCAGACCACCTTTGGTGTGTGTCTGGCAGAAACCTTTTGGCTACAGATAAATCCTGAGGACTCTATTCCAGTGTGCTGCTATCTTTTCGAGACAGACATCAGATTTATCCTTTATACACCATTAGTCCACAGACTCATTTTTCTTTCTACAATGTCCCAATCTTTTTCTCCTTAATACTTGTGTTTAGTCTGTCTGTGTCTTAGTTAGTTTCTCTCTGATATCGTTCCCCTCTCTGCAATTATCCCTCATTTCCATTTACACACCCATTTTTCTCTTTTTTTGACAGCATCTGTCTGTGTCTCAGCTCATCCTCACTTCCAGCCTTTCCAAGACGGATTAGTAATTACTGCTATACCAGACAGGTGGATTTCACGCGTCAATACTCATTGCCATGGCTATGTTGATGTTTCCTCAGCAACAAGGAGCCATGAAAGAAGATAGATATTATAGAACAAGTTAAGACATAAAAGACAGAGCCACAGAGACTATAAGAGAGTTCAGATCACACCTGCCAACTCTAACCTTTATTCCAATTTAAACCGTAGGGCCGAACGATTAATCATTTTCAAATCGAAACTGCAATTTGAAAGAACACAATTAGCTAATCGTGAAGACGGCTATTAACATGTAGGTTAATTATACAACGCATCTGACAGTCATGCAGAATTCATTCCGTTGTCATCCTTGTGTGACAGACTTGTTAACCAATCACAAGCGCCATCTGTTTCAGTCCTACTCACCAATCAGAGCACAGGGTGTGTACATTTTACAACAACAAACGAAACTGGAGGAAAACGTGAGATGATGGCGTCAGGTGAGCAGATACAGGCAGGCGTTGTTGTCCGGTGTCACCTCACACTAAAGTGTTTCAGCAGCGGAGCGTTTAGCCCTCTGTTGTTAATTTCTCATTTTGTGTGCTTCAACTACAGATAATAGCTCTCTGTGAGCTGGTTTTGTGCTGCTCTCCACAGGATACATATCCCACATGGAGCATTTCAGAATAAGAGTGTTTTGCCTGCCTGATTTTGCTGACTTGTTCAGATTTTGTTGATTTGTTCAGTTGCCCTTGCTTTCTGCGATTGCATGGCTAGGTAGGCTACATAGTTGAATTGTTTCTTTTTTTGTCTGTCTTAACTGTATTTATTGTTGATATACGATAGGGAGTCTGCACAGGGTATTTTATTTTGAAAACAGACCGGATTCTCTCTGACTTCCTGCCCAGTTCTCTGTGCTGCTTGATGCGGCTTCCATCAAAAATAGAGTGGCAGTGAATATAACTTTATAAATATAACTTTAGCTAAACTAAAAAAATAAATTAAAAATCGAATCGAGATTGCAATATCCGGCAGAAAAATTGCAATTAGATGTTTTTCTCCAAATCGTTCAGCCCTACTTTTCTGTAAGTTCCAAACACCCCAAATACAAATTGACAAATACATACAGCAAATTAAACAGATGAAATGGCCCATTTAATCTGGCAAAATTCATAGATTACATAGATACCTTTTTAGTGCTACCTAACAACAAATTACTTCAAGTAATAAAGCAAAAAAGAGGTTCCTATATAGGGCTGCACCTACATTATTTATTATAACAATGATTTTTTTATTATTATTGTCACTGTTCCTAGTCACAGCTGTGTTATGATATTATTAATTATAATAACAATATTATTAAAAAGTATATTATTATTATAATTACTACTACTACTACTACTACTCCACCACTGTTCGTCTGCAGTAAAATAGTCAGTGGCAAATATATTTTTGCATCAGTGTGAGGCAAGAGAAATAACTAAAACGACATCTATAACAATAGTTTAAGCCATTTTCTCACTAATGCATGGCCATTAAAGTAAATAGAAAATATTTGAAACTGCAAAACATTAGTTTGACACATGGTATAAAGTTACGTTACCATAACAGCAGTTGTGCAGAAATTACTTTGAACATGGGGGCAATGAAGAAATATTTAGAAAATCAATGTTAAGAGACTTCTAACAGAAACATGTTATAGTATCCTGATATATCATGCTTGTCTTGACAAAGCACTCCTGGATGATTTCGCTTTAAGCCTACATGACTTCAGCTTTCGTTTAAAAGACTCCCAAACTTTAGACTAGCTGTAGTTGTAGGTGAGTTTTTTCAGCTGCAGCTTGTTCTCTGGGGGAATCCCTGCTTGGACCGGGTGCACTTGCTACGCATGTTATACAAATCCACGTATTTCCGTAACCGATTTCGTCGATGAGATGCCCCAGCACAATTCCTATATTAGTAGTACCTGTCAATTAGTGCCACTTCAGTCAGGATATAAAAAGGTGGGAGACGTTACTCAACACAAGAAAACCACTGTACCTGAACCGTAAACATAAATCCGGCTGCTAAATATGAGTGTTGCTTTAAGAAGGACTACAGAACCAACTTCATTGTTTGGCACACTGGAAAAAAAATGGTGTTAGTCACCACGTCAGTTACAGAGGCATTAGGGCAAAGTGTTTTCCATTTCAACTCTGCATCCTTGTCTCTTGTTTTTCTGTTTTGGTGGGGTACAAATACAAATTATTTAGACAGCCATGTTCAACAATGTAAAAAACAATGTGTTTCGACTGTATGTCACATAAAAAATAAACGATACCAATAACATGCATGTGTGTACATGTATACTTACTGTTTGCAGCTGCAGTTTCAGAGTCCCGGTCTCTTCCTGTGCTTTGGTTAGCTGAGCCTGAATTGAAGGACAGAACAAAGAAAAAAGTTACAGATAAAAAATACAAAAACTGAAAAATGACTTTCTGTTCTTATCCTACAGATATGCAGTATTAACAGAAACAGAGCACGTGAGCGGAGCAGAAGAAGGAGCAGTCATATATTATGCAAAGTGTGCAGTTCACTCGGTTTTGTTACAGTGAGCCATCTCCATTTTGTTGCCAGTTCAGTTCAGTGCAGATATCTGTCAATTTATCCACTAAGCACAAACAATAAACTTGGCTAGCTAAAGCAGGATACTATAAGTGCAAGTATGGTACTTCTGTATGTGCGCACACACACACACACACACACACACACACACACCTCTATCTCTACATTATGGTTCTGTGTCTTCTGCAGCACGTCCTCTGCCTCCCTGAGTCGTTTGCTGAGTTGAGGAGAGTACTCAGTGGGCGCCAGCTCGCTATCATAGGACTCTAGAATGGCACGCATTCCATCACGTTCCTGTAACACACATATAACAATATAACATCATCCTGCTGTATACTTAACACATTTCCATGTAGCCAACGAAGAAGAAAGGCATAACATTACATATTTTTGTGCTATCGGATATGTAATGTGTGTGTGCATGAGGCTGAATAAATTGAGAATATCAAAGCTCCTTGATTGTTTTCTGATTTGCGCATGATTGGTGTATTAATATGACAAGCAAATGCCTTTGTAAATGAGGAACAAAGTATGAGGCAAATGCACCTTTCTCATCCAAGCTGTGACAAGAGAAGCTTAGGGTTATGGTCGTGCTCATTTGCATTTTCCCTCATAGAATAATCAAATCAAAGACAAATGTCGACAAAAGGATAAAGAACAAACCAGAGTCATGACAGAGAAATGTCTATGCAAATGAAGCATATAATTTTATGCTCCCTCATCTCTCTTATCTGAGAATTTAAAAATTCAAATTATTTTTTCCCTCTATAATTCTGCAATGAAAGACATATCCTCACTGTACTCTGTCCAGTAAATCAAAACACCAAGGAGTTGCTTCTCTTAAAGAAGGGAGGATAAAAAACATCCTTAAGTCAACGTCTTCTCAAATGTCACTCAGACTGACACGCTGTCTCCAAATAGCTTACAAGTCTCTGTCAGAGCGTGTCTGTATGCTTGATGTTTTGAGTGCGCATGTTTATACTCACACATAAAAACATGCATATTTTTGGTATGGTTCCCCAGAAACACAAACAAAAATTTATAGAAAGAGAAGTAAGCAATTTATAGGACCTATTAGAAATTCAAGATATGCAGCATGAGCCCTTTAATTGCCTCTAAATCATTACACTTTCCAACCCAATGGTCCATTTCTGTCTAGTCATGTAGACATTTACTGTGTATGTGTCAAAAAATGTATTTCATGCCAGAACAGTCATCCTCTACTTTTCAATATATGTTCAATTGACCCAGGATGTTTGAAGAGAAAGGAAAAGTACATTCTGCAGTCTGCTAAACTGCTGCCAGTGGACAAAACTGATCAATTTGAAATAATTATTAGTAATAAGTAAGAAGAATATTAGTATTATTTATCAATGCTGTTAATGAGTCAATGTAACATATCTTACGAATCAGCAATGTTATCAGCCACTGCTTAAGTATTTGTGACACTAGAAACCATTACCATTTAGTAATAAATGTTAATTATCAAAAAACTGAAACATCTGAAAATATTACCTGCTACAACATTTTAGCTTGCAACAGTAATGAATGATTACTACATTCTATTTATGTCTTACATAGTAAATATGTACTGGTTGCCAAGCAACATGATGAGTGAGAACAATGTCATCTGTTTAAAAACTGGCAAACAGCCTGTTTATCAATGCAAATTCACTGTCAGTCAAGACTATTAAAATTATGCGTCTCCTCCCCTCCCTTCACTGCGATGGTCCGCTCCGCATTATAAAGCAAAGCAGGCGGCATTTTGTGGCAATCAGGCTTTTAATGAACATCTCACGAAGAGCCAGGCTGCTTAAGACCTTCCTTGAATTTTGAGGGTCACTGAAAGCTCAAGTCTATTATTACCGAGGCTAATTTAGAGAAGCATAGGCTATTCAGGTTGAAGTCAGGTAATAAATACCAGCAGTAAATACCATGTTGATTAGTAGGCAGTGCTGTCTTTCTTGCATGTAAAATTCTATGAATATTGGGCTACAATTGCCCTGTCAGATTAGCTCATAGGCTAGTATTTGAAAACAAACCATGATTACCCTAATCAGATTCAGCCTGTGATTAGCCAGATCAAAACCAACATAATCCATTTAAAGATGACTGTGTATGGTTCATTTAAAAACACTATGATATCATCCTTAATTCAACTTTATTTGTTTTGGCACCGAAGCGGCATCATTTGTCATGCAACATTACACAACTGCCTAATGCATCCTGTAAGAAAACTTGAAAAGGAAGGAAGAAGAAGACGACGACGACAGAAGGAAAGACTGAACAGAAGTAAATACAAAAAGGTACAAACACATTTAGAGGTCAGTGTGTATGTGTTTGCTGCCAATCCTAACCAGCAGGCCCTTTGGCTATTTATGGTCCATTAACGTGTAATGAAATTCACTCAATCTTAATCAAAAATCTGTCGGCTCTTCTCTGATAAAAACTCATTTTAAGAAACACACAAACAAACAGGGAGCAGGAGGACAGAGTGATAAAACTATCATTACTGTTTTCATCATCTATTTTTTTTTTTAAATTGCTTTTATGTCAACTGTTTTATCTAGTGCGTGAAAATGTGACTGCGCCTCTAATGGGTCAGCGAGTCTGTCCCCAAAAAGTATATGAGAAACAAAACATCAGATTGTCGTCCTCTCCACTTCCTTAACAACTGCTGTCAAGGTACAGCTGAGTAAGGCACTTAATGATCATTGACTTGTAAGCCAGTATGGGTACAGTCCTTCCCACAGGTGGAAGGGGGAAATTGAGATCTGTAGATCTTCAAGCTCAATGATTAGCTTTAAGGGCCCGTGTCCACCAAAGCATTTTTTACCAGCTGAAAACGCCAGCTGCTGTTCTGAAAACGCCTAGCAGGGAGCGCTAGGGTGCGCTCTGGAGGCGCAGCAGGGGGTGTTTCGAGTCGCTGTGGTTGCTATGATACATTTACCTGTAGGTGAGGTGCTGTAGTAGTAGGCTACCTAATTTCACTGAATGTAAAAATGTCAACACAAAGTACGTAGGCCTACTTGCTCTGGCCCTTGCTCTGCATGAAGAGAAGGCTGAAACATGTAGAGCGAGGGAAGGGACTCGCCATTCGTGGGTTCATGAGATTTTGCGGGCGAGGAAATGTGTTTCGATCAAAAGCTGAGATGGCTCGGTGTGGTGTTTGTCCTACCCCCCCTGTACTGTGACAGGACAGCTGTGTAAAAAGTGACAGTGACGAGCGCTGCATTATCCCCAATGTTTAACATTTTTCAACTCTCGGCAACTTGAAAAAAAAAAAAAAAAAAAAAAAAAACTTCAGTGCGGAAAAGACGCTCAGCGCCTCATCGCACTGCTGCCGTTTTCAGCATGTTGTAAAAACGCGGCGCTCCCATTGCAATTAATTGGGAAAAAAATAGACACTGGCCTCAGTAAAAAACACTTTGGTGGACACAGGCCTTAAGATTACATTACATTAATTCATTTAGCTGACGCTTTTATCTAAAGCGACTTTACAATTGCTATACATGTCGGAGGTTGCACACACCAAAGGCAATCAATCTTATCTATGCGCCATCACCACCCAGATGGATATATAGAAGATATATAGATCTTTTCCAGATATATAGATCTTTTCCAGAAGATATATAGATCTTTTGTTGATCTTACATTATGATAATAAAAATACTGATTTGTTGCAGCTCTACAATACCAAACCATCCATTACATTCATGTTGTTTTCTTTTTGGAATTATACAGATTAAGAAAACAGATAAAAAGAAAGAACTGAAGAACAGAAAGCTATTAATATACTCATTAAGCTTAATATAACTTTATGAATATTAGACTTATTAATATAGTCTGACCGATAAGCTGGCGTGCTAATATGAGCTAACTGCAGTGTGATGGATCACCGTCACTACGGTTGAGTATGCGCTGTGACTGCTCTGGCTCTTTGGTGTTGCGGTCAAGTTGCATGTTTGGTGCCCTGTAGACCTGGGTTCAAATCCAGGTGGGGTGACTGCTCTTGCCCCTCCGTCACATATGGTGGCAGTGCTAGGATGGCTTGCCGTGAGATTGTCGGAGGCGTGTCCAGTGTGTAAACCGTATGAGGGACCCTTAGGGTTGGTGGACCCCTGTTTCTGTGAGTGACCCCAGAGAAGGCTGAAGCACTAGTGGGTGGGTGAAATATAATATCATCAGATTTTAAAATCCTCAAAGATTAAAATTGGTATTGGTCTTAAAAATCCTGTTTCAGTCTGGATTTATTGGATAGAACCAAATTGTTCAGCAAACCATCCCTAAATAAATAAAAGGATCTACGTTTTTAAAAAAGCCAAGTATTCAACAACAACTGCAATGGATCATTTGTAAATACATTGTGACTGGATGATAAACAACAATTATTCACAACCTCTGACTGCTTGGTAGACTGCAAATGGTTGAACACGGTCAAGCCTTATCTTCAGCATGTCTGTAGCCCTGCTTAGTTATGGTGGTGTGTGTGTGTGTGTGATTTATGTACTAAGAGACTAAGCATGTTGACCTAGGGAATTACACACACGGAGAAATCGATATCACAGGGAGGTCTAGTCAGGAACTGCAGAGCAGGGGGGAAGCAAGACAAACAGGAGAGGAGACACATGACATTCACGGGCCAATCAGAGAGAGAGAGGGGCAGAAGGGGAGATAAAGAATTCTGTGCAGGCTGTAAGATTCAAGTGCCTACTTTGTTGTTTAAAGTTAAATTATGGCATTTGTGATACTGGAAACGTTGTTGTGTCATGAGTGGCTGAATGGTTGCTAATGTGTCTGTATTTATGGACTTGTTTTTGTGTGTCATTGATTGTCCTGGCACCTTGGTTAATAACAGTACTCTCTTCTGAAGTCGACGGACAAGAGAGTCCTGTGTCTCCCTCTTCTTCTGCTCCTCCAGGGTCTTGCTGCGCTGCTGAGACATCTCCGCACGGAGCTCGGCCATTGAACGCTCCACACTCCTTAAACTGACGGACCAGGATAAATGAATAGGTGGAAAGCAAAAGTGTGTGTGTTAATAATAGAGAGGAGAGGAGGGGTCGGGGGAAGAGAGAAACAGGTTGATTAGCACTGACTGTTCAGACAGTGTGAGAAAAGCAATTCATAGCCAATTTAGAATAATTCTCCTTAGCTTACCTGACTGACACCAACTAATTCCTAGACTACTGTCCAGAAATTATTTGCAGCAGTGATTTGAGCCAGGTCAATAGGACAATAATTATACCAGAGGACAATAATTACACCAACACGCTCCCTTCACCATTTCAATATTTCATAATGAGCCCAACACACTCGGCAGAAGAGAAGTTTGTTAGCTAATAAAAGCTTTCTTAGCTGGCCTAAGCTGCAGCATGAATATACCAGAGCATGCATGCAGCCCTCCCTACAGACATCACCTCTGCCTAAACAGGACAACTTTAATTAGTGAATTCCCTCTCTCTCTCAATCACGATCTCTCACACATACACACACACACACACCAGTGGTTACTGTCAGGAGTGCTATCAGAATCAGGACCAGTTTAATTAACTTTGTGACAATTAAGGACTTCTCAGAGATATGCTCTAATAGATACATGGAGAGAGAGGCATGCAGGCAGACTGAATGAGAGAAAGGGGTCTGAAGGTAGAGAGAGGGATTTTGTGTATGTGTGAAGAAGTGTGTGTTACCGGCTGTTGAGTGTGTAGTTCTGCTCTTTCAGAGCAATTTCTCTCTGCTGGATCTGAATCACCTCCCTGGACAGATCCTCTGGTTTCCTACAGACAGAAACACACAGAACAGTTAGCATGCACATGTGTACACAGACACACACACCCAGTCATTCACAGACACACACAATGAAAAATCAATGACTGAGAGAACATAAAGGACAGGGAATGGATGAAAACGACGGCTTTTCCATATTCTTTTGTTAGTCGGCCAGTGGGGAGCTGGGAAATAAAATGACACGAGCAGCAGAGGGAGAGATGAGAGAAGGATAGTGGGCTAAATACTGGTCACAGTTCTACTAAACAAACTCACTCCGTGGGAGCGATTGACAGATTACAGAACACACATGGACACACAAACACACAATAGGAAGGCAACAATGCAGAAGGTCACATACTCTGACAAAGATGCACCATATGCTGTCCAAACTCAAAATCCTGTGTGTAATGTGTGGACGTTCAAAAAATGAATGCCGTTATCTCTTTATCCCTTGTGAAATCGGCATACATTTTGAGTTTAGCTCCAAATCTTTGCTGCCACCTAGCAGTTCAAAATGACGACATACAAAGATTGCTCTATAGTGCAACTTGACATCATGAGGTTAGGCGTTGTCATAAGTGCAAAAGACTTCTAACACACAGAAGATCATAACGTTGCTTTTCTTCCATAACAACAATCAAGCAGGTCATCCAACTTGAGGTTTCACTAGAGACTATCAGTGGCAGCAGAAGATCTGGTATTGCAATGACCCATATGAGAAATCAGGCAAACGGAAGGAAAAGACTGAGCAATATCGAGGTGAACATCAAGGCTGAAAAACCAGAGTATGCCACGTGAAAGTTGGACGGCACAGATTTATCAACACTTCCACTTCAGCTAGGTATAGCCTTAGGTATGGAAGTAATCTCATGACTAAAATATGAGTTCATGAATCATTTGATGAAATAACTATGGTGCCCAAAGTAGGTAATTCCACATTGCCCTGAGTGCAGAGGGAATTATCCTCCTCCAGAGCTCATATGAGACTCTTTTTCTGTGTGTGTGTGTGTGTGTGTGTGTGTGTGTGGGGGGGGGGGGGTTCATGTGCTCTTAAGTCTGAATGTGGAATTAACATGGACGCTACTACAAAGATGTGTTGAATTAGCATTATCAGATCACATAAACAACATGCAGACATGTAGTTCACTTTACATGGACAGCAAACTAACAGCAAAATATGCTGTGTTTCCCATACGTTCATTTACTTGTGGCGGCCCACCACAATATCAACGCTCACCGTCACAGATTCATTTTCAATTTTTTTTCTAGGCCTATTTAAAATTGTATTTGATTGAAGAGCGCCGTAGCGTGTTCGCGCAGCACATCCCCTTGCTTGTCCCTCTCACTCTCTCCCTCATGAACAGTGAGGGACCCAGCTTAAAAAAAGTTATTAGCAAGCATGTAAGGAGCCTAGCTAATAAGGACAGCTAAGTTAATGTTAGAAAACACCTGGGTTTTTCGACGCTAGCACGCTGTATATAGCTGACAGTCAATATCGGCTGCACGAGACCCCCCCCCCGCTACAGTTAAACTGTCATTCTATGAGAAGCACTGATGTATATGCAAATACGTGATTTTGCACAAATCAAAGCTCTGTATCCTTCTTTATGTCCCATGTACACACTATTTCTGTTTTTGCAATAAACATTTAAGGAGGAAAAAAATTTGGATTAATCCGACACCACACGAATGCACCATCATGAACGCCCTCCCATTCCAAGCCTGCAGGAGAAGCTACGGTTGCCAACACCCTCTGTTGGCTCCCATGCTAAATAATACGTGTGGGCTGCCATTCTTCCAAAATTTCTCTTCTTTTCTTACTTATTATAAACCAGTAGTAGTAGTAGTACGTATTCGACTCAGTGACAAATCGCGCTCTCTAGAGTAGTTTGTCCATTTGGGCAAACTGGCGACTTCTATGTAAAGGGACCCGCGGTGTATTTAGATCATACTGTTCCAGGAAACGATCCATTGAGCTCAGTCAGAAACTTTAACACACTGCATTTTACAATCATTTTGTAGCATTGCAAATTGTGCAAAATCTCAGACAAAACTACAATTTCTTTACACACAAATACACACATGAACACCTCAAACTGTTTTTCTAACTTCTCTCTCCTTGAGACACACGTGCACCAAACTGTCTCAACCTCCCCGTATATTTTCATTATTTCATCAACACTGTCCCGTGTAGAAGATTAATTTTAAGAAAATATTTTCATTCCATTTCTGTCAATTTTGTTTTCAGCTGTCAACCACATGGGTACACACATACACAAGCACAATGTTATCAGACTGTGTAACAGAAGGAAAGGAAATGAACACCAGCAACCAGCCAACTGCTGGCAAATTCAAGCTGTGGCTGTGAGGATTGTCTACTCCACCAGGCAGCCACATTGATTGCTGTTGGGGAGGGTTAACTTCTGTCCAGAAGTTATTTTCATCTGGCAAAACAGCAGACAGAGCTGGTAAGAAACCAAATCCTTGATTGCAAGAGACAGACTCCTCAACTACAGCACCAATGTGTTTACTCCTCATTAACAACTGCTCCACAACATATTGTTTTCACACCACTAATGACCATCCTGAAATGTCTAGTGACAGAAAGAGTTACAATATGTAAACCAAAGCAAAACAATGTATAAAGTATCAGTAGCTTGCAGTTAAGAAAATGTGTTGTCCAGCAAAATTAACAAATCAATAATACAAATACACATAGTGTGTCAAACCAGTAAAGCTCTTATGAGCCATTTCATATTTAATGACCGAACAAGAAGAAGCCTAAACATGGGCTCTACGAGGAAGCTTTGTTTTGACGTCAGTATTAATTCAGAGAATGTCATTATACAACATTATTGATAGCACTGTCATATTCTGTCACTCAAGTGTCAATTTTTTTTTCCTAATGAAACTTGCTGATCATTTTTACCTACAAAAAGAAAGTGACATAAATTCATATTAACTTATTTCGTCACTATTTACCTTTCTGATAAAACAAATACCTGAAAAGAGTCAGCACAACACAAATTATGAAATAACAACCGATTCACCTGGATATAAAGGAAATCACAATAAGCTACTAATACACAAATCCGAGTCAATACAGATTTTAATGCGACACTGCTGGCATAGAGTGAAATAAAGGTGAACAGATTGCTGAATTAAACACTCTTGCTTACCATTTGCCTCTACATCACAGGACTGTCGCGAAAACAACATCCTGACAATTAAGTTGGCCATTTAGTGAACAGTAAAACAGCTTGAAGGAGTTTCCAAATGTTGATTTGCAAGCTGGATTAACCTTTACTTTTGATCAGTATAAGTCTCACACATATGGCTGCCCTTTAGAAGTTTGTGCAATGCAGTGTGGGTTGTTTTTTTTCCAGCAACAGCACTCAGGCAGCCAATGACATGGCAGTCTGAACAGCTGAATTTTGAGGAGGGTTTCAAATTTTCAACTCAATTTACTCAGGATGACAGCCTAGTCTGACTTAAATTTTCAGGAAAATGATGGACAGCCCAACCAAATTATTGTGTATATTAAACTGAGGTTGGTATTACATTTCTGTGATCCTCCCAGGTCTTTTAATAACAGTAAATTTAACAAACGCAATCACATCCCATAACACATTACATAAATTATAAAACTTCATTTTATAATTTTTACAGTATGTCTACCTTTATCTTATTGCCCTAGAGGAAGACAAACACACACAATATAAGACAAACTGCGCTGTGTCGATGTGTTCCATTTAACATTCTCTTTACATCATAACCAGAGTTAATCATAGTGAAAATGGTGTGTATGGGTGCGTGTATGCATGCATGCGATGGACAAGGCTATGGTGTTTATAATCTTTCAGATCTGCTCCAGTGCTCACAAGGAAACCTGCAATCATTCTCTCATTACCAGTTTTGACTAGATGCACTGAGACACACTCAGCACGCACACACAAGCAGGTATAAAATAACCACACACACACACACACACACACACACCCCCCCCCCTATACACAGCTGGTGGAATCAACACACAGTGATGAGGCACATTTATTTGAAGTGACCACAGCTCCCCCTAGTGGTACTCAGTCATATTTCAAAGATATGATTCAACTTTTGAAAGCTTAACACTTGTCTACCTCTCTGTCTCATAATCACACACAGGCACACTTTGACAAAGAGTCTGACCTTATGTTGAGTCCAGTAGATTGCCCCAGGTTTTCCCATGCTTGTAGCTTTTCTGCAAACCTCTATGCATTCAAGACAACAAGTTTTTACTTGTATGTGATATTGCCACGGTAAAAAATATCAGTAAATTGTAGAGTACACGTCATTGGAAACCACAACAAAAACATTTGTAACTTGAATTTAAATCAGTCAAATATACCCAAGCATGCATCTTCTCCTAATTGATGATACAACAGGAGTATTCAACCAATACTATCCAAAAATTGTAGCTCTAATATAAGCACACTTTTAATCTGGTCATTTCATGTTTACAGACACACAGATGGATGCCCAGTTTACCTCCTTCTCCAGTTCCATATTAACCAGATCTTCTTTGGTTTTCTGCATCCTCTCCAGCTTCCTCCTCAGACCCTCCACCTCCTCTTTCAACAGGCTGCAATTCTCTCTGCTCTCCCTGGAAAGTGAACAGACAAAGCATACTGTTAATCCCTGGCTACATTCACACACAGACTTGATTTTTAAATCTGATTTCAGATGTAGTGAGATCATAGTTACAATATCTACACACACACGCACACAGAGACAGAGATTACTGTGAATGAGGAGGATTAGCAGGAAATTAAGTAACAATTACCTGTATTGCATTAATCTTATTATTCTTAAAAAATAAAAAGAATGATACCCCAGATGAGGGCAGAAGAAATTACTGTTTTTTTATAACACTCTTTCAGCTGCAAATTACAACCCTTGCAGAGCACAGGCAATAGATGTTATCAATAATGATAGATGTTATCAGAGACATTACTTTACAACGTGATATTACTTTTCCCCATTGTGCTTCATGTACATTTTCCTAGTAAATAAAGACTCAGAATTCTGGTAATGTTGATAACAATATTCTTAATCCATTTTCTTGAGAAAGGACATTATGTTTCATGCTTTAAAATTATGCTTCTGAAATCAAAATACTGCCCACAGTCAGGAATAATCATGTGCATGAAAACAGACTGAATTTCTGCACTGGGTCTATGATGACTGTAAGTCAAGGTTTCTTATGTGGCACTACATTTCACCCATTTTCCCTTCTTGTCTTTTCACTGTGATTATATGCACAATCTGGCTTGATAGCATCTGAACTATGTAGATTAAGACACATGTCATCTAATGCTTCCTAGTGTGGTATGATGAGCCAAAATGTCAATAGGTTTTTGAGCACTATGGGGTTGCACTGCAGTGCCTGTCTGTTCTGTTGAAAGGTGAAACGTTTTGGAAGGCATTAAAAAATGTATCTGACCTGAGAAAGGCATTATCATCTCTGAGGCACTTCATCTCCTTTTCCAGGTCCGGAACCCTGGCCACCTCTGACTTAACAGTCTTCACAATGGCAATGTCTTGCTCCTGGAGGGCAAGACGCCTCTCCAACTCCTGCCAAGACGTGAAGAGAGAAATCAGCTAAATGAAATCCCAACAGTTTGCGCGTATTCAGTACAATGCAAAAGCATTCAGTGCTCCTGCCTTTTTAGAGATACGGACATCTCTTAAGAATGAAATATTTAAAATATTTTATGAGCATGAATATTTATAATGTAAAAATGACCTAGACATGAGAAACAATGAAGGAAACCTATGCGAGTATGTTTATAAGGGCAAGTCTGTCTTGGTTATAAGTCCAAACACAGGCATTTAATTACATTTGGGATTTGTTTCCATGCAACGATATATACTATATCCTCACATTATCCGAAATGTCTGCTTTGGTGCAGGTTTGTCTTTGACTTCTCCTCATCCAACAACTCATTTTTTGTACAAACAGTGTTAGTAGATGGGTACTCGGGATTTTGCTTCTCCAACCACTCCTCAATAATGGGGGAGGAAAGCCATAAGAATAGCATAAATAAAACTTTACTACATTACTAGTTTGTGCATGTGTAATCTACATGCTGTAGTAGGAACTCAGTCTATCATAATGCCAGACGATCCACCATGCACAAACTGAGATCACAGAGTTGTCCACTGTGTGTAACATACCTTAATCTTGATGATGTGCTCTGAGCAGGAAGACTGAGCAGCTTGGAGACTTTGGCAAAGCTGAGAGGCTTCCTGATTCTTCCTGATTATGATACCATTCAGACAGAAGTGGGTGGTCAGTATTTATCTTGTGCAGTAAAGCTCATAAATAGTAGTAGTAGACTGTGTTTATGTCTGTACCTGCGTTGTAAATCTAACTGTTCCTGTAGTTCCTGGTTTTCTAGGGTTTGAGTAGAAATTGTTGAGTCTTGGTTTTGAATGCTCTGCTTTAGTTCTCTGATCTCGTCCTTCAAAGAACTGATAGTCTGGGAAGAGATTATAGAAGTGAGCCAACATAAGATAAGAGACATGACCAGAGTGCAAATGCAGTGAGTGAGTGAGCGTGTGTGTGTTTAATACTAGTTACAAAATCCACAGAAGTTGAGCCTTTATGTTTTGTTACTAAAAACATAATACAAGGTAAATTTATTCTTCATATTACAACAGGGTTGTAAAATGAGATGCATTTTATAGTTCACTTTATGTTATAAAGCAAACAATATATCCAAAAATTAGAAAGCGATACAAAAATAAACTATTTTGCATGGCGGATTGCTGAGGATGAATTTTGGAGTCTCACAGCCTGGGGGAAGAGGCTGCTCTGTAGTCTTTTGGTGCAACGGCAGATATTTCTGTATCTCTTGCCAGATGGCAACAGGGTGAACAAGCTGTGGCTGGGGTGGGTACCGTCTTTTAATATCCTTTGGGCTCTGTGCATGCCCACACCCCCCCCCCCGGAAGAACAATTCGTACATTTTAATGTTAAGTTAATTAATTTGGTGAACTTTGCACTCATTAACAATTTTGTGCCCTAGTAAACAATTTCATTGACACACTGCATAGATATAAATGGTGATGAAACAGCAAAAAATGTATTTAATGTTTTTCCAGCAACCCTAAATCAAAAGAATAATTTGTAAGTAATTTCCCCCCCAACATTTTATTTTGCTTTTAATGGACACATGTAAAATGTTTAATACTTCCTTATTTCCATCCTGTATACGTTGTGTTAATACCTTATTTTGAAAACCGGACTTTGTGACGTGTCTCCTCCATCCTTGCGCTACATTCACCAAGCCATACACAATTTGATAAATGTATGTTTTTCTCATATTGCGTATAATAAAGATTTAATAGCCTCTCTTTGGGTAATACTCTCATACTCTCACACTTTGTAAAGTGAGAAAATGACAGAATAACCCTTGACCCTGACTGTCAGCTCGCCCTGCTCCTTTTAACTGCATTTACCATAACGGCTCCAATTCCTGTGCACTCCAAATTTAACAGCTAGCTTGATCACGTTTCCAAAAATGAGTGACAGTGGAGACAGTCAACGCTGTTCAAACCCTTAGTTAACGTTACCGTAATTACCTCAATAGAAAAGTGGTTGTCTCGAGACGGATGCCGAAGTGTCTGAGCGTGCGTGCGGAACAAATTAGACTGTGGCGGGCCGCCGTAGTCTCGATAATTAAAGGGAAACAATAGAGGTGCTCCAATCAGGATTTTTTAGGCTGATCACCGATCGCTGAAAGCAGTATCGGCTGATACCAATCACCGGGTCTATTTGAAGCCTTTTATTTATCATGTAGCATTATACAGTATAATGTATATTTATTTAATTAGTCCTAAAAACAATGTATTAAAGTAAACAGATACGGTATCATGAAATGACAACTGTTTATCTTATTGCCAGGAAACATGGGCAACAAATTCCCCTCCCTCTGTCTTACTTAAAGACTTAAACCATTGAAGCCTTTGCCTGGTTACTGCGAACATCTTATAGCTTAACAAATATAGCTTTCCTGTGGAATAAACTACAAAAACAGAACAACCAGTATCTTTATAAATTTACTTCAACTATAAAAACTGTAACAAAAAAGGCTATAGCCAAAATATTTTGGAGATAAAGGAGCACAGGCATCATAAGTCAATGATAAACTCTAAAGTAGCTGCTTTTTGTTCTGAAAATCTCAGGCAGTTCCTGTGGGCTTTAGGGGGTAGAGAGACGAGTAGAGAGAGGGAGAGTGGGCTACAGAGGAGTCATAACTGTCATCATTGAGATTTGAAAATAAGGAAATTTTATATAAATAAAAGTTGGCATACAATGTTATTAGGCCTATATGTTGTATATAATAAGCACAATTCCATATCATATTGTTAATATATTGTTAATATTACTTATAGTTACTATATTCATTAGCCTATAATTTCATATGTATAGGCCTAATATTATTGCAGTGGGTTGTTTTCATCCATTAAATCCTTGTGCAGGAAGCACAGTCTACAATTTTAACACAGGCCACCGGCTTTACCAGAGCAGAGAATAGCAAACACTTTTTATTTGATTTTGTAAAGGTTTAAAATACAGGAGATGGTGTTGCATACAGGAGATTTAAGTGGGAGGATACCGGGTGAGAATGGAAAAATACGGGAGAATCCCGTAAAATGGGAGGGTTGACATGAGAGGAGTGGGGTAGTGTTAGGCTACATCCACAGTACAAAATATTTTACTAAAAATACTGAAACAAAAACTCTGTCAGTAGCATTGTGTTTTTGCTGTGCATGACTAATAAGACCGAATCAGAAAGCCAAATATGAGTGTATGTGTCATCATTTTATAAAGCCCAGTTTTTTCCCATGGGGTCAGGACTGTTTTCAAACAAACATCTTCGGATTCGCCACTTTAATCTGGACGGGAGGCGGAAACGTAGCAAAAGGTCTCCGTTTTAAAACGAAAAAGATAGGCAGTCAGCTAATTGAGTGGCACCTCTCTTTACATGAGGAAACTCACACTGAAGGATCAGTTTCTCTCTGCCTGATACGCTGTGGGTCAAGACAATTAAAGCGGGCAGGGTGGGTGTGAGATGAGCACAACCGCAACAGTTTCACTTGATAGCTCCTGCTTGTTGCTCCGTTTGTCTGATTGCTGCTCAACTCTTATTGTAAATGATTAACTGAGCGCATCAATCGCTTCCTGTATGAAAAGGACTTTGGTTCTATCTAGCTTTGAAAACTGCTCAGACCGCGTAGTGAAACCACTTTAGCTGCCGTTGAAAATTAGTCTGGCAAGTATTGCATCATCTGATTAGCTTTCTGATCGGCCTTTTTAGAGACCACCGATCAAACTAGTTAAAACCATTAATAGGCCAAGCAACCCTTCGCTAAGCCCTGCCCCCCTTAGTTACTGTTGCTATGTCCGACAAACTGTCGGCGCTGCCACTGTCTATTACTGCACTTCCCGGGGAAATATTGTCAAATTTGCTGGAAAAAGCGATCTCAGAAAGAAGCACGCAGTTTTGCAGTTGCATTATACATTTGAAGGTTGTATTCAGGCTGTCAAACAGACTCAAACGAACGTGAAAACAATTAAAGACAGAAGCTAAAGCCTACAATCACACAGTACAAGTGAACCACCGCATCCCCCGACAATTGAGACAAAAGACAACGATTAAGGATCAACACTGTTCCTGTACAGCTGGGTAGGCCTCTATTCACTGTTACAATCATTAAAAAGCAGAACAGCAGGGCTTTACGTTACATTCAGCAGGAAGTAAACTCTTAGCTAGCGTTAGCTAACTAACATTACATTAGGAACAATCCACAGACGACATTTTTCTGGATTTATTTTAGGTTTTGGAAAGAGAATAAATCGTACTTCTCTTATCAGCCTCTCTGGGTAGCGACTGCAACTATTACAAGTGCCCCAGGAACAGCGTTTTACCATATCTTAGAAAGCAGCCAAAAAAAGGTAGAAAATACTCTTTTTGCATTACAGTCAATGGAGCGCATCCATGAAAGTGTCGGACCTCAGTTAGAGCGAGACCTATACTGCGCTGTGATTGGCCAGCTGTGTATTTGGGGCGTGGCTTAGCGAAGGGTCAATTACGATCGGTGAACGATAGATCCGAGCAACCTTAGGAAACACTGGGTACCTCACCACACGGATATCACCAATGCTCGGAAGATGGGTACCAATGATCTTCTGAGCAGTTTTAATAACCCGCTGCAGAGCCCTCCCAAAACATGTTGCGAGAGACTATTCAGTTGATATTATTGATTTCGCTTATTTTTTCTTTTCATACATGTTGGAGTTTGAATGTCAAATTTTCCTTATTACAAAACAAATCATTATCTTCTAGCTGACCTCACTATATTCATGAAATAAAATTTAAAAATGAATGCCCTGAAGATGTCCAAACAGCCACAACAAAGTGTGGTAGATGCATGATTCAAAACCTGCATAAGCTTGGGCAATGTTTTTTCTCCTGACTCCAATTAATTTATTAAGCGCAAATACAAAACAAGATATAATCAGCAGTATGAAGGGAGCCCTGTTTAAATGCATACTTCACCATTCCACACAGATCATAAAAATGACCAACCAACACAAAAAAATATGAATTTCGCTAGGAGAAAATGGAAGTTTATACAATTGCAACCTACATAAAGTAAATTTTGTTGCTAATGCTGCAGTCCTCAATATTAGTGTATGTAGCCAAGATACTTCTGAATTGCTGGTAAAACATATTTTATTCTCACTTAAAGTGGCCATGATTATTTTTTGTATATAGTATATGGAGATACCCTCTTTGAGCAAAACATTCTCACTCCCAGATCTTCACATTTGGACCCATTGGAGTTACATTTTAATCACACAGTACACTTTCAGCATCATTTGTGGATGCTAAACAATAAATGCGCTACGTCCAGTCAAGTTACCAATATTAAATCTGCAATGTTTGGTTTGACTTTCAACCTTAAACATGTGGTTAACATTGTGAAATGCTAGCAATCTGGCCAAGTTTAGGCACCAAAATTACTTGGTAAGGTTTAGGAAAAGATCATGGTTTGGATTAATGTTACGACCGTTAAAAGAAGTCAACATTGACAATAGGTATCACAAAGGACACGAAGGTCCCCTGGATGAAAGTTCAGTGGTTGTTTGACCCACCCATCATCTCCCACCACCTCCCTTTGTCACTCTTTATACGTTACCTGACATTGGCCAGATGTATAATGCTTACAGTGTTGAAAAATTATGCTAAAGGGGTACCCAGTGCGTTAAAAAGTGATGTGAAGTGAAAGGGTCTTGACAAAGCATCCATATGTGATCACTTCTGAGTGAGAACGAGTTGCTTTGATAGGTAGACGTCATTCAAGGATGCAAGTCCCCTCTTGTCAATTTTTTTAAAGTCAGACATTTGCGTTACTATTATGGGGAAACATCTATTTTTTTAAATGACCAGAAACAAAAAGGTCCTCACCTGGTCGGTGTAGAATTATAGTACAATGAATTTATTTGTGTGTGTGTGTGTGTGTGTGTGTGTGTGTGTGTGTGTGTCTGTGTGTGTGTGTGTGTCTGTGTACCTGGTTAGCAGTGTCAAGTCTAGTATCTCGCTCCTCCAGTTTCTTGTTCATGGCCTCCAAGTTCTTACGGAGAGAATGATTTACATCCACTTGCTCTGATAGGTTCTTAGCTGCCTCAGTCTCTCTCTCCTCCAACTTTTTTATTCGCCCCAAGAGGTCCTGGTTCCGGTCAACCGCATGCTATGACATAAAAGGTTGTTGAGAAACAGCTTTTATCAAATGTCTTCTCTGACACTTAGTTCATGACAGAGTCTAAGTAAGAGTGGTGAGCAAGCGTGAAATACCTCCAAACTGCTGAGCCCTTGTTTTTAGCTCCCTCCATGCTATGTTAGCTCTCCAAACAAAATGATAATGAAAATAGACTGACCACCTTGTCACCAATATCCAATATAGCTATCTGAGTCAAGAGTAGGCCAATATCCGATATCAGTATCGATTCGGTGCATCCCAGAGCTAGTTACTGTGAGTTATGTAAGTCTATAGGCCTATCCATTTTTTAGCCAATACTTGGTCTATGGTGTAGGTGTATGCTCATGTTAACCTTTAAGGAAAGCTGTCATTGTCTGTTTTTTCACAGTGCATTGCAATAGTCTGTTTAAAGTGATCATATACCAAACAACTAATCAACGCTGATATTGTATGTAATACTGTACACACTTTGAATTCTTTAGATATAGCTATGCAGTGTTCTAAGCAGACCGGGTGGCATGCAGCAGATGATAGAAGAGTTATTACAACCAAAAGAGACTTATGACAGGACTTCTCTGTATGACTGTTTAAGTTTGTATTGACCTGTACGTTACCTCCAAGTCTCGTGCGTTGTCAGAAGCAACCTTCTCTAGTTCAAATCGAGCTCTCTTGTGACTCAGCTCCATCTGCTTCTTCTCCTGGTCCAACTGAAGGTAGCAATTCTTAGAGTGAACCCTCTCTGCAGCTTCCAGCAACTAAAAGGAAAAAGACAAGTCAGTCAGTGCAGAGGTTGCATGTTAATACCACCTTCACATAGCTTGTGTTGATTCTGTCAGTTTCTTTATACCTCCATGCTGCGTTTGTACTGACTCTGCAGGTTTCCACTCCCTGCAGAGTGCTCTGACAGCCGTTGTGGACGTTCAGTGTGGCTGATGAAGGAATTGAAGGACTTCAAGGTTGTTAACACAGTGGTGTCATCTTCTAAATCCATTGTGAGAGTCACTGGTGTTACAGTGCACTTAATGGAAGGTTCAGAGTAAGAGCAAGAGTCAGTAAAGTTATACTGCAGTATTGGAAACAGCTCAACATAGCTATTGAAGTGGCTAATATTTAGTCAGAGAGGTAACTCACAAAGACGAGGTACTGATGGGTAAAAGCATACTGCATTATGTTAACGCTCTGTAACTCTTCCCAGGTCAGGTTCACCGGCTCAACATTATAAAACGCCAACGGCAAACGTTAGCAGTTAACCTCAACGTTCAATAAAACATAACGTTAGAACAGTATCGTTAACTGACATTAGCGTCCTCGCACACTAACTTAACACACAAACAGCAAACGATGTTATCCAAGCTAACCTAGCTAAGTTAAGTTACTAAAAATAAAAGGAACTAACGTTATTTAGTCACTAACGTTACATAAGTTAAGTTATATTCTGGCCCATTTTCGTTCCTCCCTTTGTGTTTAACTGTTTAAACTGTTGTTCTCGCAGAATAGGAATAATGTTAAGTTAACGCTAAATTCAAATTGTGGGTGTTCGTTTCTTCAGCTATTCAAAAGGCGCTAGGAAACTAAAAATCTTAAAAATAAGCCGCTAGCATTTACGTTACTACAGTCGCTTGGAAGCATAAGTTATTAAGTTATGTCCTCACCTCAGAGCTGACTTGTTTGTAAAGAGGAGCAGGTTGTAACTTAGTTAGATAAGTTATCTTTGCTCTGCTAACGCTAGCTCAACACACTGGACACTCAGAAATCCCTCCAGTTCAGCTCGAATGTGATGCGTGTAGTATCGCGAGACCCCTTGACGTATCGCGAGCATCAGTTGCAGACTATGTTATGAAGTTATCTTTACCATGAACAGTCTATGATCTTCACAACAGCACTACACAGTTGTTTTTACACAAGCTAAACACAGTGGATCGTCAGTGGATGAGTAAATTTTATTCAGGTAAAAGTATGTAAGCTTTTTAGACCTCAGACCTTAAACCTTAGATGAGCAACAGGCAGGCAGCCTTTAATGAGGAGGCAAAATTAAATAGCGTCCACATAAATCTGGAGTCTGGAGAATCTGGAGTTTCAGATGGAGTCTGAAAGAACTATTAGGAAGCAATAAAGCAGGGGTTTTCAGAGTCTGAGACTGTCAGACAAAGCTTGGGCAAATGCGCCCCCAGCACCCCTTAGTGAAGGGTACCTGCTTTAGTGTAGGCAACCTGCTTAGTTTTGCTTAATCCTGGATGTCTGGGATCATGATTAAGTTATTTGAAAACATAGAAACTCAACATTTGAGTCATCATATGCTAATAGTGCTGCATGACATACTATAACTTCAGACTTCAACAAATATACAACAGTACAATGTATACAAAAACACATAGAAAAGGTTCCTGACTCTGGGAAGGTGGGAAAAACTACTGTTTCTGAACTATCTCTTGAACCAAATCATATGCATTTAGGCTATTCTATGTCATCTCATTTTGATAAATAATGTAATAATGTTTTTACTTTACTACTTTGAGCCTTCCCTCAAGGAGCCCGCCTCCCACTTTGAAACCCTCTGCACTAAAGCAATGAAGATCACCAACAAATATCACCATCACAACATTCATCTTATCAGGTAACGTGGGTCTAATACAAATAAGAAAAAAAAACAGAATGTAGAAAAATGTAGTATATTATTCTATTTTCATTGGGGTTTCCATTACTCTGGCACCTACATATGTACATGAAAAATAAATGTAGTTACATAGTTTGTCCCACAGAGAGCAGCACTGCTATATTCATGAATCTGCATTTTACGCAGCATGGCGAGGCAACTGAGCAACAGCAAGCTGTAATTGGCTCTTCATTATTAAAATGCACATGCTATTCTTTAGTGTGGATGTACCCACATAGCAGACTGATCTGGCACTGAAGACATTTATTTGGCACTGGCATAAGGCATATGAGCCCATGTGTTGCACTGATGGCAAAAAAGGCATGGGCTGATTGTTGATGGTAGTATTGCCATGAATGACATGTAATAAGACCATTTGGGCCACAATGTTTTGGAAAGAAGTATTAAAAGCCATGTTAAATGGAATCACTACAAACTACCACAAAAGATGCTCCTGATCTGAACTTAATTTAGCTACAAACTAACAAACAACAACTTGTAACCAACAATGCCTCTAATACTTATGCATCCAGTTTGCTTCTACATAAATACTTAATTGATTCCCTCTAGGAAATTTGTCCCCTGTATTTGACAGCTACAGAAGTGAGACAATGAGCCAAGTATTCCTTATACCTAGCATGCATTCATGTCATTTGATGTTTGTAAGAATCTGGATTAATGTAAACATAAAGTACATAGAAGTACATAAAGAAGACATTAAAACAGGAAGTGGTCACGCAACCAAATCAGCTTCCAGCTCAGCAGTTGTGAAGAGCTGGGAGAAGGTTAGAAGCAGGGAGAAAGGAAAACTTTCACATCTTTGTCATTAGCTGAGGGTCTAATCTAGAGCAGTTTGTCGCAACAGTAGAATAACTATCAACTACTAAATTACCACACCAAAGTCTCAGTAGGGAGCAGCAGCTGAAGAGGTCAGAGCCGTTCCCTTCATTCACTAATATTTATACAAGAAAAGAACTAGAGAGCAAAAAATAGAAGCTAGGAGGAGCAACAGAGGCAGTTTATTTAGAGGTTGGGTGAGATCCAAGAGGGTGTAGGAGTGTGAATTTGTCTGAAAAGGTCAGACAGAAGACATGTCCTCTTCAGAGTGACACAAGAGCTTCCGTTCTCTCTGTCACTGTCTCTTTCTTTCTCATCCTTTCACTCCCAAGAGTATTCTGTCTGTTTCGGTCCATTGTCCTCACACCCCTTGTCCATCCTGCCTCTCTTGTCTCCTTTTCTAAGACCCCCTATCTCCCTCGCTTACTGGCTACTAACACTTTTTTCCTCACTGTCTTTTTTTTTTTATCTGTCAGTCTGACTCGCTCCCCATCTCTCTCGGGGATTCTGTCGCCCTTTTTACCGTCTCAACCTGCCCTCGCCCTCCTTAGGTCAGCCTGAATGCAGCGATCTCTGTAAGATGACGTAAATGCACAAAAACACACACACACACACACACACACACACACACACACACACAAACCATAAGAAGTAAATCAGCAGAAGTGCCTGCAGATGTGCCCTTCATTGCCATCTGTTTGTGAAAAATATGAAAGCAGCTCACAAAAAGCCTTCTTACACTCAGTGGCTTTTCTCCCACAGCATGTAAACATCAACACAAACATAAATATTCCAGTTTTGTGTGAACTGTAAAGGATTAGGCAGCTGACATCGATTATATTTTGTAACATTGCCTTGCCTGGCAGCAATGTTGATTTTCACATCTTATTAATTTACTGCAAAATGGTGAGAAGTAATAATCACTTGATTGATTCAAATAACCATAAAAAGGCCTTTACCAGGCATCTGAGGCGCTATAGTTAAGCCATTAAACTTTATATAAATTACTCTTGATGTTTGAGTCAAGACGTCTACATGATGCAGAAAATACCCCTCGTGGGAACTGCTGGGTCAGGGGCTAAAATAGAAATGAAGTCAGTCAAATTATATTTCACTCACAGTAGAGAGAGGTCCCTCTCAAGGTCACCCAGACACAATGTGTTGCTTCAGCAATTATTGTAACTGTAAATCTACAAGGGGAAAATGAACATTTAGGAGAAAGGATATTAAAGGTGAGGACAGAGCAATAAGAATGATGGGTTTATTAAGTGGAAGGTATATAAATAGAAATTAAATAGAATAGAAAAAACAAAGAAATAAATGGGAGACAAGGACACTGGAGAAAAAAGCAGAGAGAGGGATAGAAAACAATGTTAGAGATGAGGCAAAGGTTAAAGAGAAGAATCAATAAAGTAGTGATTTTATATTCTTCTAACGAAGGAGGACAGAGTCAATGATTCAGGCTTCCTGTGTTCTCGAGCCCCAGGGATTAACAATATTAGTTTATAGGTGACGTGCATGCTCATGCGCTCATGCACACATACATACACACAGACAGACAGTAAGAGGGGAGCAAAGGCACCACATGATGCGCAAGGAAACCATGATAAGAGCAGAAATTAAAAATAATCGCACTTACTAATTAATAAAATAAGTAAACTCATTGAAGCAGGAACGATGGGGTGGAAATTTTATGAATTCTTTACCCTGGGGTTTTCCAACATCCACAAAATTTCTACAGTCCCGAGGGCAGCACACCAGAGAGCAGCAATATCATCAGCGCAGAACACATCACAAAACTATAGGCATTTCTCTTCTGCATGACCCTAGTCATTCCATCCATACATCCATCCATCCATTGTCAACAGCTTATCCTGCGTACAGGGTCGCAGGAGTCGTTCCATAAAAGTATATATTATAATCTGTATGACTGACTGAAATGCTGTCCTTACACTTACTGTGTTTTGGAAGATAGGAATTGGGATTGTTTTTTTGTTGGTGTGTAATTGTGTGTGTTGGCTTTCGTGAGCTATCAGCTAGAATACGACCATTTGCACGTGTTTTATCCGGCGCATGGCTTGATTGAAAAATAGGAAGCATCAAGGCGTTGCTGTAGGTGAATCAGTTGAATGGAAGGGGAAAAACAATTTAAAAAAACACACACATAGAAGGGAGCAGGGGAGGGGAAGGAGGAGGCAGGATGGTGGTACCAAGAACGTGTTGTAGAGGGAGAGAAGGGGAAGAAATGGAGGAGATAGGGAAGGGCACAAGAGGTGAAGGAGCAGCTGTAGATGTAAAGAGAAGTGGCGCAGAATGAGAGCAAGATGTAGAAAAAGAGCTGCAACCAACAGTCAAACAAGCTGCATACAAGAAAGCATTCCATATGGAGTCATGTGTGTTGTGAATGCAGGATAATTGATTATATCGTCATTGCTAACCATGGGATAACAAAATTCTTTAAGGTTAGCAGCTGCTTATAGTGTTGTGATCCCTTTCACTTATGTTTCCCTGCTTAATCAGCAGGAAAATACATTAACGGGGTATTTATGACAAATTAGTAAGCTGTTGATGAAGCATTTTTTTAACGCCCCCCTCTACTGAAATAATAATAATAATCTTTATTTGTAGATTAATAGGCTGTTTGGGTTCGTTAAGATAATCTTAACATTAATCATAAATCATTTCTGCTCATTGAAAACATACCATAACTAAAGCCATAGTAGTGTAACGGTAAAACACACCTCAAGACATTTTACCCGTAATACCCTTTATTTAAATTATAAAACCAAATAAATGTACAACACAGACATTCTGACAAGCCAATATCCAATATCTGAAGCCCCTAAATTCAACTCATCATACTCTCATTTTGATAATATAAAGCCTGCACAAAAATGAGGCATATATTATTTAATATATGTGTTGCTCTGTGTGTTTATATTGTCCGTCTCTTCATATCAAATAAAACAGGAAGGTGAATTGTTACTAGAGACTGTAGACAAAAAGTGCCTAAAAATAAATAGTTTGCAGGGTTTGCAAGTTCTGCAGGGAGCATCTGCCGTGCTCCGTCCCTGATGCAGAATGATTTTGGGGTCCAACTTGCCTGTTACATGAACAAACTGTGTTGACATAACACAGTCAGCAAATCAGCATCAGCAGGGTCATCTCCAAAAAAATATTTTTTCGGCCAATTTCAAACACATTTGAAGTAGATGCAGAATGTACAAGGTTAGCAGCTGTTTGCTGTTTGGTAGCCCTTACTGGACAGCTGTTGAGTAGAGACACATAGGAAATG